CTCTATCATTTTGAATCCTTTGGGAAGCTGAACATTATACGAATGTAATCATGCCTTTTTGATTTCCTATTATAAAAATTGATTTTCATATTTTTGTGTAAACGAATGATTTGTAATGACAATTATCAATGTTTTTCCTGATTTCAATATTCGAATTCTAAAACCTAGATGTCGCCACTCCATTGTCCTCTAAAAGTTCTACTGGACAGAAATAATAATCGGCACTTCAATATCAATTTTCCATTTCTTTGACAAAAATCAGCCAAAAGGGTGAGGGAGCTGGGTTCCAACCTGAATGACATGAAGACGACGTTCAGTAATTCTCCATACATCAGTCAAAAGGGTAAGGGGAGCCAGGCTCCAACCTGTCCGAAATCAATATGGCTGTCACGAATTCTCCAATTCATATAGTAATAGTAATATCGAAGAGGAAAAAGGTTTACCTTTAAATAATGATACAGTGGATAACTGGTATAAAGCTAGTAAAGTACCCGTCTCTCGCACTCGCAAAATTTTCTTATGAGATAAGTATGACATTTCATTCTGTACATTATTATGTAGCGTAATGCCAACTGGATTGCGAATAATCATTATACCTTTGTATATAGGCTAACCTATGTACAAAGATGGTACATAAGAGTCAATTTGGTTTCTAAAAGATTTTGGAAAATCTTAAGACTTAATTTTCTATTCAATAGATGTCGCTAGTAGGTTTAAAAATCGAAAATTGTTCATGGACTACTTTCTATTTCTCTCTCGAAAGTTATTTAGAATGTGTGAAACAAAGACAGCAGTTGCAACTTTCTGCATACTGTCAAGAAAACGGTATGAACTTAATTTGCCACTACGTCGATTTTCTATTTTCGTTTGATCCACAGTTAGTATATTCATACATCTTTTTCTACCTGGGGTGGGTGTATTCACAAAATAGTAAAAACACAAGTATAATGCTAATAGCATTATACTTGTGGTAAAAATCTTCCTGTTAGTGAATTCTCTTTTTGAACTAGTTCGGTCCAATTCTCTAGGAGTACGGTTCTTTTCGCGGAAAATAGAATTTCCTGTCTCTCCTACACGAAAAGACGATTATCAAGATATATATTCAAAACAGTATTATCAATCGGTATTATGTGTCCCCACAGAAAATATCGCGTTTCAGAATTGAAACTGAATTCTCAAGAAAATGTTAGGGCAGGCGAACAAAATTGCGAAATATTGTAGGTAAGTTTATTACAGGTGTTTTGATTTTCCATAAATTTTAATTTTTCTAAATGGTGTTTTGTTTTATAAATCATTTGACATATTCCATCTTTCCTTGAATTTCATAAACAAAAAATATNGAGTAGTATGAAAATGCTACAGAAAGATATTGTATAGCGAAACCCGTATCAGGGTTTAGTAAACTTTCCACTGAAAATCTCACGAAAAAGTGTTACATGAATACTCTGCATTTATTTCATTAATTTATTATCTATTTGCTGATGGAATTCACAGTTATAGGTGAAAATTTTCCAATTTACAGTTGTGAATGTGAATTTTCAATTATGAATGTGAATTGCAGAAAAACAATTTCATATAATTTTTTTAAACTCTGCTCTGGTACAAATTTGCTAATAAATAAATAGAAATGTTATATGTAGGTACCTACAAGTGAAGTCATTCTAGTTGAAGTGTTCATTAAGAAAATATTTATTTTACAATTGGTTTACTGATTATGAGTTCAATTTTCCAATCCTCTATCATTTTGAATCCTTTGGGAAGCTGAACATTATACGAATGTAATCATGCCTTTTTGATTTCCTATTATAAAAATTGATTTTCATATTTTTGTGTAAACGAATGATTTGTAATGACAATTATCAATGTTTTTCCTGATTTCAATATTCGAATTCTAAAACCTAGATGTCGCCACTCCATTGTCCTCTAAAAGTTCTACTGGACAGAAATAATAATCGGCACTTCAATATCAATTTTCCATTTCTTTGACAAAAATCAGCCAAAAGGGTGAGGGAGCTGGGTTCCAACCTGAATGACATGAAGACGACGTTCAGTAATTCTCCATACATCAGTCAAAAGGGTAAGGGGAGCCAGGCTCCAACCTGTCCGAAATCAATATGGCTGTCACGAATTCTCCAATTCATATAGTAATAGTAATATCGAAGAGGAAAAAGGTTTACCTTTAAATAATGATACAGTGGATAACTGGTATAAAGCTAGTAAAGTACCCGTCTCTCGCACTCGCAAAATTTTCTTATGAGATAAGTATGACATTTCATTCTGTACATTATTATGTAGCGTAATGCCAACTGGATTGCGAATAATCATTATACCTTTGTATATAGGCTAACCTATGTACAAAGATGGTACATAAGAGTCAATTTGGTTTCTAAAAGATTTTGGAAAATCTTAAGACTTAATTTTCTATTCAATAGATGTCGCTAGTAGGTTTAAAAATCGAAAATTGTTCATGGACTACTTTCTATTTCTCTCTCGAAAATTATTTAGAATGTGTGAAACAAAGACAGCAGTTGCAACTTTCTGCATACTGTCAAGAAAACGGTATGAACTTAATTTGCCACTACGTCGATTTTCTATTTTCGTTTGATCCACAGTTAGTATATTCATACATCTTTTTCTACCTGGGGTGGGTGTATTCACAAAATAGTAAAAACACAAGTATAATGCTAATAGCATTATACTTGTGGTAAAAATCTTCCTGTTAGTGAATTCTCTTTTTGAACTAGTTCGGTCCAATTCTCTAGGAGTACGGTTCTTTTCGCGGAAAATAGAATTTCCTGTCTCTCCTACACGAAAAGACGATTATCAAGATATATATTCAAAACAGTATTATCAATCGGTATTATGTGTCCCCACAGAAAATATCGCGTTTCAGAATTGAAACTGAATTCTCAAGAAAATGTTAGGGCAGGCGAACAAAATTGCGAAATATTGTAGGTAAGTTTATTACAGGTGTTTTGATTTTCCATAAATTTTAATTTTTCTAAATGGTGTTTTGTTTTATAAATCATTTGACATATTCCATCTTTCCTTGAATTTCATAAACAAAAAATATTTTAGGAATTTATCCCTGGAAAACTAGTTGGAACATAATTATAGTAATGTAGATATTGTAACAAATACTTTCATGAGCACAAGGCCACTTTAAATAAAATGTTGTCCATTGCATGTTGAATTATTTTATTAAAAGACATGCAAGGTGGTTTTTGTATATAATATAGCTATAAGTAGGTACGTAGTATTTAGATTGAATGAAATTTTATACGTCGAGTTCCAAGCATATTTTATTGAAAGTACAAATTGGGCAGGTCGGTGTCAAATGTTCATTTTAGTATTGATTTCACACCATGTCCTTGTCTAGCAACTGATATCGGGTATCGGGTTGGCTTTCCACTCTCGGCAGACAGACCACACGTGGCTTTTCCTGCTTTCATAAATTAACTGTGAAATTTTTAGTTCCTCCAATGATTATCAAATAAATGAAAATTGAGTAATAACTACAGTATCTCTTGTGTATAAATTAAATTAAAAAGAATTTTGTAATTCAAGAAAAATGAGAATTGAAACTATGTTTTTATACCACTTATATTTGTAACTAAGGTTACTGCAGTAACTAAGGCTACTGCAGTTTTGTCCTACAAGGAAATTTTCCAACGCATACTATAAACATGTTTGTATTCGTTTCCTTGTAGGAAATAACTGCAGTAATGTTAGTTGCAAATACAAGTAGTATAATCATCATTTTTCATGATGATCTCCTGCCAAATAGTAACGGCTACATCCATCAATTTTTTTTGTAATTCAGTCAACAGAGACGTTTCTGTAGGAGACTATAATCTGGCAAAATTCGTTGGAGACAAAAATAATTCAACAATTTTCAAATACGTTTCTGCTGTACGCAAAGTTTATAATAGCCGGGAAATAAAGATTATATTGGTATGAAATCCACAGATAAGGATAAACAAATTTTTATATTGAGTAAAAAGGATGTGTCTTTTATCAGCAAGTCATTGATATTACGTGTATTACCTGCCTCAGTAGTACAGGAGAAAGGATAATATATGAGTTTCCCTTACTGGTAGATATATTTGAGGCATAGACATTAAACATTTTTTTATGCAGATTGTTTTATTTCGATAATGAGGATTTTATAATTTACATTTTATATGTTTCATAACTGGACAATGGTGACATATCATTTTCAATATGTCAATAACTGGGTTGTCAATAACTGGTTTTCATTCTGAATGACATTTCATTAATAGGTAAATTAATATTATTTGTCTCATATGAGTCTTTTCCATCTCTCAACAAGAAATGAAACATTTTTTCAAAAAGATTTGAACACAGAAATAGTTCCAGTTTACTCCAAAACAATATTGAAAAATTGAAAGTCAATATCTCATTTTTTATAGCTCAAAACAATGCAACTGCTCTGTGAAAGTTTCAATATTTGGTCTTCGTGAACACCCAATAATCAAAAAAATTTCTTATTGGTTTTTGTTTCAACAATGTTTTTGGTTTTGGTTTGGTTTTTGGTACCAGTAATTTCCTAAATGATAATTTGAAAAACAATATTAATTTTTCCTAAAAATTTATTATTGTTCCACCAGAAATTTTTGTTTAAACAAATTATGCACTGCTAAGAGTTAATGACATAAAACAATCATAGTTTTGAAATTTCCATTTTGTTTTTAATGAGTGAGGAAGTATGTTTACTGTTTTATACTCTACATTGAAACTTTTCAAATCTCATTGATTTCATGCTCAAGTAAATTACAATCAATTGATGGATGTAGCATTACTAAGTGGTAGAAAATCATCATGAAAAATGAGAATTGAAAATTTCTGTTTTTATGATTGTTATAAACAACTTTTATAAAAGTGATAAAAAACATAGATGTTTCAGTTCTCATTTTTCATTAATTACAATTGTAATCTGTGAAAAATATTATTACATACAAATTAATATTTGTTTTACCTTACCCCAGCTAATTCCTTGGAAAGTACTTCCTGTGTACCAGATATCAGTTCCAAGGCTCCTACATAATCTGATGAACTCAGTAATAGCTGCAACGTAGGCTGAGTTTGTAGAACTGTTGACATCAACTTCAGTTTATCTAGCAATATTATGTAGTTTGCTTTAGATCTTGCTGAACCAATCAATCTCAAGGAATCTCTTGCAAGGGTCTTGTCAACTTTTTGTACTTTAGAACGGAGTAGTCGAACCTCATTAGTAGCAGTACCCATCTGTTCCATTATTGTGTCATGAGATGTCATTGCATGAAAGAAAGCATCAGACTTTTGTGAAACCTGTTGCGCAATTTGTTCCTCGACAATATCTAAGTAGTGACTAAGTTCATCTTGGAGTTCATGTTCAGTTTTTCTAGTATGAAATACTTCATCAAATATCTTTGGCTCACTCAGTTTAAATTTTTGACTCAAATATATATCAGGAATGCTGCTGGTATTGAAGTCAGAATGTTTCGGTTTCACTTTAGAATTGGTATTCTCCAATTTTAACTGACAATGTTTTTTATATCTCTTCCCATATTTTCGCATGTAGACATCAAAGTGGGCCCAGGTTATCTCTGGGAGAAAGGGACTTTTCTCTATGACTGTTTTTTCCACAAAAGTATCCCCCCATGTTTTCGTGAAGAAATTGGACTGTTTTCCACGATTGGGGTCCGTTAAGACAGCAGGTAAGTGTTGAGAAGCTGTGTACAAAGACCACTGCTCCTCTTCACCATTCATTATGGGGAAGTTACATACATGTACTACCTTATTTTGAAAACTTTAACTAGCGGAGACATCTTTAGATATATAAGAAAATAAAATAAGTTATGTACCACATTTTTATTATGTACACGTCTAAATACATCTAAATATAATCTAAATTGAACAGGGAATATTCTTAAAAGCGTTTTCCATTAGTAAAACCCGTGCCAATTAGTGCATAATTTATGTTCCATGAGTGAAACGAGTGTCAGTTCCATTGGAAAACCAAGACAATGAAAACTGCACTCAGTGAATATTTTTCGGCACCATCTCTCAAATCCTGCGGTTTCAGTGCTTGGCGATGGCGCTTAAAGAGAAAATACAAGTGCTGATTAATTTATTTTTATTTTCTTCATCGAGTAGTGATAGATACATTGAAATAGTAGTTGAAATACCCGTGGCAAGAAATGAAAACTTTCAACACATGATAAGTTTCGGTAATGTCAAGTAAGTTGGATAAAAGTGAATGATAGATGAAGTAATGACAAAATTTAAAAAAAAGAAGCGAACCAGCTCGATTGATTGATACTTTTAGGTACAGCATGGAGACAGAGAATGATTTCTATGAACTTGAGTTTCGATTAGATATTTGATAAGACTTTGGTGAAATTTAAAAATATTTGATGAGTAATTCCGGTCACATATATTTTGGTTCGCAAATTCTTTTTTATTTTAAGTTGATACTGAAGTTATCTTCAACGATATAACTGCGTAAAAAGTCGCTTGGATTATTTTTAGGACAAAACTATAAGTGATAGTTCCACTATTTGTTGTGCTTTCTGATTTTATGTTGAATTTATATGAATTTGTTCCAAGAATGAATATTTCGGATATATTATAACAATGTTTTCTGTCAATATTCAAAGTTATAAGAAAATATTAATAGATTCTAAATTCTAGAAGCCATTAGATTAGATCTTGATCTTTCTGTTATAGTAGTAGTGTTATTGAATAACATATGCTGAAATTTATGTTCCATTAGGAGTGAAGACCGACGGAACTTATATAGTGTCAGTGCAGAATAAGGATAACACTAGTTTTTCCAATGGAAAACGCTATAATAGTTTTCATGCCTTTTGCTTACACGTAGATGCATTTCTTAGATTAGGTAAAAGGTATATCTTTCCTTGTCTACGGTGCATTTGGTCACAAATATCTTTTGTCGTTTGTCATTCGGAGTTTCTTTTCGTTGTGTCCACAAACAGAATAGAAAACAATTCTGTGGTACATGGATACATTTCGATATTACATTTTTTATACTGAAAGTAATATTCAGTGAAGTGTCTTTGTTTTGCGTAGACGAAATGTGTGTAATTTTGAAAATAAGTGTCGTTTTCATGCGATGGAAATTTAAATGTAATCACGTGTGATTCATCAAAAACTGAAATGAATTTATCGTAAAATTTATCATTTGTAACTGTAACGAATCCGAAGGTTTGTGTTGACCTGTTGTTGACGGATAATAGATGCTCAGCACAGAACAAAATCAAAGTCCAAGGCAAAACCAAAAATACTCAACTACTAACTAAATAATTTGGTGTGTTCTGAATTCAGACTGTTTTGTTTGTTCTTCCGTTCTCGGCCCGTGTATACGGCCAAGATGCATAGAAACCTCAGAGTACTAATGAGACAGAGTTGCCATGCCTGTACGATGCCCATACCAATACAATACATGTGTTTTGAAATGGGTATCGTAGTATCCTTTTCTGTACAACTTTATTATTAAGCCATACATAAATAAATAGCTAGTAGGTGGTAGAAAAATTGGCCCCATTTCCATAATCATTCTGTTTTGATTATGATATACCTAATAAGGGAATTCAAATTCTTAACGATTTTTTTACAAAACCAAAGACAAATACAAAAAGCGATACTATATTTTGTGCCACTGATAACAACAGTAATATGAGTTTTGCGGTAAAATCCTCAGAAATACTTCAAATCACATGGATATAACCAACTATATATTTCACCCATGGATTCCAAAGGTAAACGTTCCCATACCTCTGTGGAGAATACCAAATAATTTTTCCATGAAAAAAAAGGCACAGGTCCTATGGGAGTAATGTCAAGAATCGAGTCCCTGACGTTATTCTTTATCTGCTGTAACATCTTCAGATACCAGCAGTCTTCAGTCACGACTTCGACGGTATACAATATCGAGGTCTGAATGCCCATTGAACAATCCTACCTGGGACGTCGCCATGGGAGGAGCCTCCCTACCTGCTTTTTCGACTTGGAAAAAGTTAGTAAATTTTGGGCCGTGAAGATAGAAAAAAAAAATAGTAAAAAAATGAATAAAAATTAAAAAAAATAAAAATGAGAGAAAAGAAAAGGAGAGATAATGAGAAAAGGGAAAGAACCAGGAGAAGGTTGGAATTTCCCAACATGCATAACTTGAAGAGAATTCTGAGTTGTTTGAAATCTTCAAAAAAGTTAAATTTCTCCCAAGTAAGAAAACAGTCCCGAACAGTCCACAAATTTTGAAGTGACAATTTTACAAAATTCACAACTTTTCGCTGTTTTTTCAACTTGGACAAGTTGGGAAATTTCGGGCTGTGAAGATAGAAAAAATAATAGTAGAAAACAATAAGCACAATATTATTTAAGTGTTGTTTCCTTTCATTTGTATTGAATATTCTTATACATGGTTGATATGGTGGAAGACCAAGGACCTTGGTCCAAAGTAGAATAATTACCATTATTATTTTCATAATCACCAAAATTTATTTTTGTTTGTGCATACCCTAACGGGCATAAGCATTCAGCCAATCTTTGGATAGCTACATAAGAAAATTAATATATTATAGTAGTTAACTAATCCTTCGGCTTTCATTTCTTCGAAATATGGGAAATTTTACTGGTGGGGTTAGGAAAATTTGGATTTCCTCCCCCCCGGTTTTTCTTTTCGCTACCGCCGTGTATGCATCGTAACAAAAATTAGCCCCAGGACCGATTAAAGTTAGGCCCTCCACTTTGGCGACTTATTGTCGAATTCTCCTTATAGCATTAAGCCTGACTCAGACCTTAAACTCGCTCCATTCGTGAATTTTATATGCATAGTAACAAAAATCAGCTTTACCTAGCCCTCTGACCGCGGTGGGGACTGACAATCTACCACCAGAACTTACAGTTGTACCTACAAAAATTATAGATATTAATATACCCACAACATTCAACCTTTTGTCCTTGTGTTAATTTCACTTCCTAACGAAAATATTTCTCATTTTACATTTATAGCTTGACCATGAACAAAACTTTTACTTTATTTTAGCACGAGTATGGTGTGTGAAAGCTGTCATTGATTTACATTCTGACAACCTTTCTAAGGTAGAAGTTTGGTGTATAATGTGTTTGATATATTTGATGCAAAAATGATTCCAAAAGTCTACGCATTTTTTCAGCTGATTTGATTTCCAGTAATTCCTATTTTGTGTTTTTTCATAATGATGACATTTTCTGCAACCATCTGCCAAAATTGAGTATCAAATCAAAAATTAGAAGCATTTTGTTTGTACTTGAGACTTGATATCCCTCTCAGTTGAAAACAAAAAATCTCTATCAAGTTACCTTCGATGTCGACAAAATTCTTCTCGCTGTTTATTGTGCTTGGTGAGCATGATTTCAAGCGTTGACACATATATTTTGGGCTTTAAAAAGCTGAGCTCAAGTAATTACGGCGCTTATCATCAATATTTGAGCTGTAATTCCCATGATATATAGTATATGCTCAAAGGGAAATGTGTTGAATTGAAAAGGGAATATGTTTAGGTTTTTGTTAGAGAAAAGTTTTGGCCCTCTATTTCTCCATCATTGAACAAAACATGTATAAAACTTCCAAAGAAAGGAAGGAAAAAACTATAAAAGAACTCTTATAAAGATATGTAGTACCTACATACACAAAAGTTTATTTCGGGTACAAACTGGAATAAAAAAATCTCTTTCTTAACAACGATACTTTCATATGAACAATCAATAACACGAAAGTCACTTTCTCCTATTCAATTTAAACTACAAACATTCTTTATGGAACTGAAAACGATATTATTGATTGAAATGCCACAGAATGTGATTTATAAAAGAGTATTGATATAAAATGTCAATTAAGGAACACTATCATTCCCAATGATGTAATTCGGAGTTTCGGGACGAGACACTTGTCTTATCACCTCATCAGTATTGTTCTGAGTAACATGAAAAGAAGCACTCATTTTTATACCATTACGAAATATTCGAAGAGATCTTCCAAATGAATAAACCTCAACTATCAGCATCTACGGTGTAGAGTAAATAAGAGTCTGAAATCGAATTGATTGTGTTTCCTTCCCAAAAAGCTTAAATAACAACTCAAGAAAATATAAATTATGTGATGACTGGCTACGAGTCAATTTGAATAAAATTCAAAATTAAGAATGCTGGGGAACTGAAAATGGTGTCGTATGCATTTCTCCATAATTAAAAATTATTAAAATTCAAAATAGTCAGTACTCATCTTCTTGATCTAAAGCTAGGTTCTCTAAAATAACGATGTTCACTCCATATAGTGTGATTTCAAAATATGCACCAATGAAAATATCGTTTGCTCTTTTTTGGAATGAACGTAACAAAGATAATGAATATTATTTTCCATAATAGGTAGCTCACTTTAAAAAAACTCATATAGAAATATCGATTTATTGGACGATGTTAAAACCAATGGTAATTAAATATCTTCCCAATGAACAAATGAGAGAAACCTCCTCTTATGCGCAATGGACATTGGTGAATGAACTACCTATCTTACCAAATTTGAAAATATTTGACATATATGTCATTTACTTCCAGTAGCAAATCCAAAGTATCACGGTACGAATTAAGAAATACGAAATACGATACGTCACCCTTCATTATCATCATCATAAAACACCATTGACATATGGTGACCTTGAAGGTTCTCTGGCCTCAAGGTCTGAAACACAGAATTTAAAAATTATATTTTATGAGTTCTGTATATAAGAAGCCAACAGCCAACAGGAGAATAATATCCGAGTCGGCTCTTTTATCTTTGATATGAAAAGAAAGGGTCTATTTCTAGCACCTGCATGAAATTTGCTTGTTCCGTTGTTCCAGTCAGGGTTCGTATATACAATCCCTGACCAGTCATAAAACAGCTAAGCTGAGACATGTTGAACCATTTTAACGTAAATATGTTCAATGCAGATACCCGACTTTACCCTCAAAAGAGAGGAATGCACTTAATTATCCCATCTTTGTTTTTACGGAAAACAATCTTGAATTTTCACCTTTTTTTGTTTAAAATTTCAAATGCCTATATAGTAACAAAATCATTATAATCCCAAATTTATGAAAAATTGTACAATAATCAACAAAACATAAAAATGTTAAAAATTACATTAAATTAGAATATAATCCAGAATGTCATACTTCAGAT